AGTGTAAGAGTTGCAACAAATGGGCTGATTAAATCTAAAACAATAGCCGACAAATTAAGATAATGGAAAATTTAGCTCTGTTTTCAGACAAGTTGCAGTTTCTGCAGTAGTATTATTACAGGAATTAATTGCAATGAGTAATTATTTCCTAGCTTGTTTTCTCTGAGGAACATCTAAAACCAGACTTTTTTCCTCAAATTCATAATTTGAAATAATTCAGCCACCTTTTGTAAATCAAGTTTGCTCCTTAAGTTGCTATTCAATAATCAAGACTGAAGTTTCTTCTTAAATCATCCTGACAGCAGTACTAGAAGGCAAGCATGTGAATGTCCAAGTCTCCTAGCATTGCTGACAATAAAACCTGAGTGCTTACACTGTCTATAAACCAAGCCAATATTTTAATGGCCAAATCAGAATCCTATGCACATTTTAACAGACACATACTGCAAATGCTTTTGTCTGGCTCATCAAAAAAACCACTAGTCTATACAAGCTCTCATATATGCATCCTAAAAGTACATTTCTACAAGATTAACTCCATAAATTTAGTTTCTCTAAAAATATATTACTGCATGTTCAAGAATTAATGAAATTAATGAAACAAACCATAAATGTAAGATTAGGTCACTTAATTTCAGGCCATGACTTCATAAAGGTCTCTATAACACTGGTATATGAGACATCATGTTCACTTTTATTTTCATTTGTCCATTGAAACTTAGTATCTTGTTGCCTGCAACAGGGTGGTTCAGGACAATGACTCAGAAAATACTGATCCTCACATTCCAAGTCAGTGGTTATGACTTCCAATACTAGTTTGGTGGCCTAGGAAATCATCATAGTTTCAGTTTGATTCACAGTGTGTACCTACCCACAGAATGTAGCCAAATCAAAAAGCAGCACATTATCAATATGGAAAACATCTGGTCACCATGTAAGGTCACTTCTATTCCACTTATGCCCTTGTATTCTTAGAAGTGGTTCACTCAAGACAGTGGTCTGGTCCAGAGGTGGGAAATTATGATAAAACTGAGATGCAAAGTTTACCTGTCCTGGGAGTGATGGACAGAGCTAATACCTTAACTCACAGGCTAACACTGGTGCTATAAAGAAAGCCTTGTTTGATTTTAAAGACTCAACTAAAATATAAAGGCCAAGGCAAGTATTTTGCCTTACAAATTTATTTGTTCCACATTTGTCTTTATTTCCACATAACTGGAAAGAACAACAGCTTTGTACTGAACAAGGCTTTGAAAGGAAATTATTCATGTCTTTAAGGGCAGCACCGCCACCTGGTGTTGCAGATGAGCCAATTTAGGTCCTGTGAATCTTTCTAACAAAAAAATGAAATTTCCTACCTCACCTGCATTCTGCCATCCCCTGGGATTCTAATTTCCTTTGTACTTCATTTATATTAAATGGAATCCAAATTACTTCTAGGCAGCCATCTTCCTACCAACAAGCAATTTTCAAATTCCAAATTAACACATTTTCAATTCCTATCTTCTTGAACAAAAGCATTTTGGTACACAAAATACAGTCTTGCTCTTTCCCATACATTTTTCAATCGCAAAGTTTGCGAAACTCATTCATACCTGGATTCTAAACTGAGGTTACAGTGAATACAATAAAGCATGTCTTACATGGACACAGTAAATGAGTCCGTCTGGGATAGCACATCACTACAGCAGAGAAATGGAACTGACTTGAAATAAAAAAATACTTCTTTTGCCCTTAAAAGTATCTTCACAACATAGTTTTGCGTAACAACAGTTCTAAAACAACGTCTGAAACACAGAAATAAAAGAGCATTTCCTCAACACAAGGAACTCACTCTAGCTATAATCACCAGTTAGTACAGACAAGACTCTATGTACAACCAGACAATTGACAGCTACAGAGCAGACGTCTGCAGGGCTGTCTCCTCTCTGAAAATGCTAATACAGCTGACACCGCGCTAACTTGTTTTCTCTTTTCTGCGAACACAAAATGAAAATGCAAAGCAGCTCTTTGAAAATCATGGAATAGACATCTGCTCTGGCTCAAGACCATCAGCAGAGGAGCAGCAAGAACTGTGCCTGCCAAAGAGACACAGAAGGTCTTGCCAGGCCTGGAGAAAGCCAAACATGGACTGTACCAGCACCAGCACAATGGTTTTTTTCTACAGTGGATTTCTATCGGCTATGACACTTGCCAAAATAAGAACTCATTTTCGCCTGGAGGTGTGACTAGTTCAAATGCATCGCAGGGCACAAATCTGTGGCTCCAGCCCAAAATACATGGCATGAGCAGTCCTATTGACAGCAAAGTGCTACAAGGTATTAACAGTCTCCGCAGGATCCAAGCTACATACATAAGGACCCGCTGGCTGTTTCTCATCCATGTAGAGCCTAATTCCCACCTAAATGCTCATAGGCAAATAACGGAAACAAATTAGTGCATAAAAACCAGACATTATTTTGTCTGTCCTCCTGCCTGACAAAAGCCCCTGAATTTCAGCTGATGATTCTACTTACGGTGTCATAAACTGTGTTGCAAATGACAACCACAGTTCAGGGGCCCAGTAATGAAAACAGACTATATATTATGGAGTCTCCAAATGTATGGTACAAAACAAAACAAAAAAAAAAAAATCCATCTTTAGCATGGAAAAATGCTTTACATGATGCTTTGTCTTTAACGTCACCAAAAAGACAGTAGAATGTCATTTCAAGTATAATCTAGACAAATAATTTAGCTATAAAATTTGCACAGCAGATCTCAGTACCATGTGTAGATACAGTTTAACATATAACTTCTTGAAAATAAGAAGTTGAGCTTCATTCCCCCCTCTTCCTAAAAGAAAATAATTTATAATTCAAGAAGAAATTGCAAAACCCTGAAGAAAATTTCCTCTTTAAAAAATGTCTTTAAATATGATTGTCCGGTAATACTTCTAGAATAGCTTTTTTTTCACACTGCAGTACTGTTAAAACAATGTCAATGAAGACATCAGTCAGAGACAGTCACACACTTTGGATTTTGTGAAAGAAAAAAAATAGCTAGTAGAAACTGAACATTAAGTAAACAGGCAAATTCTAACTTGTTTCTGTACTACGGCTTTGAATACATATGACAAATTTTTAAGACGTTGAGTGCTTTTTGATATAGAAGCTCAGAAGCATATTGTTTCATACCCTTTTTTATTTTGAAGGTCTTACAGATGGCAAGGTAACCAAAAATGAGCTCAGGCTGCAATTAATTTGACAAAGTGGAGACAAGAAACCAACTTTTCTCACCCAGGCTATGCTCCTCTTTTTTCCTCTTTTCCCATTTTGAGCTATCCACATAGGCTGAAGAAAGAAGAGATCTTCGACCTAACGAAGAGAGAAAACACTATGTAAGCTGGGTTGCTTACACAGCTCTACACAAACATTTTATTAGGTACCACCTTCTTTTGTCATATTTGCTAAGTGGACTGCATTAACTGTCTTTATGTCAGTAACTACTAATCTAACAATTCAGATTCTTTATATGTGAATCAACTATTACATTGTAATATTTAAAACTGAAAAGCTTTCCCCAAGAGTCTTTTTTTAAGCATGAAACATGTATTTCCAAACCTAAACTCCGTACTCAAGAAAATAACAAATTTGTAAAGGTAGAAAAAACCCTCAACAATAAAGCAACTTCTTTGTGCCCACAGACTCTTTACATCAAATGCTAGCAATTACCTAAATGTAGGTTAAAAACATAAGCAAAAAAAAAAAAAAAACAAAAAACCACACAAACATGCTTTTCTGCTGTTGCTGAAGGCTATTTCCACCTACAAAGGCATGTCTCACTGAAAATACTTTCATTTTTATAATTGCCAATCTTCCATCTCCTATGAACTGCAGACTCACTAAAACATTAGTGAATGAAAGCTCTTTCGAAACACTTTGTACCACAACAACTGCTCAAGATGCTGTGCTAGCTTTTGAAACAAAATAGAAAATGCTTCAGCTGGAAGAATTTGTGTATCATTCAGAGAGATGATAAGGTCTTGAAAATGCATGAGGAATACCTGGATAAAACTCGTTGAAGGAAGATACAGAAATACATACAAGGTCGCAGGAATTAACATTATGAAATAAGAATATTTTAAAAATAGATACTACAATGCTACACAGAAGTCTTAGCAACTACTTCAAAGCCTTTATGTAAACATCTTACTGCTAGCACTAAAAAGTTTCATTTTGGTTGTTAAATAATTTTTCCTTCTTATCACCTTTCTGACACGCAACTACACCCACACATCCTGTACTGAACACCTCATGAAACTATCATCAAAAAGATTCAGAACACAGAATTCCACAGTCACACTACAAAATTATGTACAACACTTGACCAAACAGTTAGAAAATAATAATTTTAAAAGGCATTTCTGGTTGGTTGGTGGAGCTTCCTTTAGCAGTCTCCTTCCTTATGCTGACAGAAGAGGCACACAATAGATTCAGGAGTTTTGGTGTGGCAGGCTTGGGGTCTTTTATTGCCGGTTTTTTCTTTCAGCATAAACAAAAAGTCATTCATTCATTCATTCATTCATTCATTCATTCATTCATTCATTCACAGCTAGGGATGCCACGAGCAAGCTCGAGGCATTCCAGGCCTTTTCCGCAGCACAGGCCCCGCGTGTGCCAGGCCCGGAGCCAGGGGGCCCGGCCGGGCGGCGCGGCTGCAGCTACCGGGACACGCGTGCTCGACGAGGGCGGAAAGCGCAGTAGGCACCCGCCGCCGGCACACTGTGCCCCGCCTTACTGGGCTCAGTCCTTCCCCAAGGTCAGCTCTTTGGCTTTTCCAAAACACCAGTCCTGGTGGCGCCTCCGTCACCGCCGGTACCAGTTTTCCTGAACGCGCGCTGCCGCGGGTTTGGCGGCCTCCCGTACAATTCCGCGTGGCTTGCCCTAATCCAAAAAGGCAGGTACTACCATGTCGAGCTATGAAATCGGCTCGGGGAATTACCAGTTAAAAAGCAAATTGCGAACAGTCTCCTGCACTGCATACTAGCCATTAAACGTCTTCTGAGCTATCTCCAAATCCACACGTGCACACAGATGAAGAGGGAAAGGTGAGTGAAGTCCCTACGCAGCACCCCGTCCCTGCTCATGCTCCCCACCGCAGCCGGCGGCAACCACGGCGGCCAGCGCCGCGCCCCCCGCCCCGCCAGCAGCGCACCGACCTGGGGCCGCGCCGAGGGCGCTCCCGCTGCAGAGCACGGCGCGCCGGAGCACGGGGGCGGCCATGGCGCCGAGGCCGGAGGAGGCGGGCGGCGGAGCGGAGGTGCTGCGAGCGCCCCGCCCCGCGGGCTCGGCCGGGAGATGGCGGCGGTGCTGGCGGGCGGCTCCGGGCGGGCGGCGCGGGAGGCGGCGCGGCGCTCGGCGGTCCGCCCGCCTGCCTCGGGCGGCTGGGGCTGCGCGCCCGCAGGTACCGCGGCTTGTACGGCGGGGGTGGGTGCCGGGATGCCCGGCCGCGGCGCGGGGCTGCCCGCTGTCTGCGGAACTCCTGGAGTACTGCAGCTCCCGGCAGGCCCGCTCGCCGCTGCCGGCTGTGTGCCTGATGGGAGCTGTAGTTCCTGAGCGGGTGCCCGGCTCGGCGCCGGGTGTTGTGGCGGGGAGCGCCGCGGATTGTGCTGCGGTGGACGGGCCGAGCTGGCGCGGCAGAGGTGCAGCCCGGGGAGAGACGACGTCACAGAATCGGTGCAGCAATCACATAATGGCCTAGCTTGGAAGGGACCTTAAATATCATCCACTGCGAACACCGTGCTGTGGAAACACCTCCCACTACACCACGTTGCTCAGAATCCCAGCCTGGCCCTTAGCCTGTCCAGGAATGCTAGATCCACAGCTTCTCTGAGCAAATTATTCCACTGTCTTACCACCCTCCTAGTAAAGAATTTCTTCTTCATCTCTTACCTAAACCTATTCTCTAATCAAAGCCTTTGACTCCAGTAGAAGGCCATTCCCACGTGTCTTAGCAGTACATGCCCCTGCCTACATTCTGCTCCTGCTCTCTTGCAGGCCCCACTGGAAGGGTGCAGTAAGGTCACCCCAGAGGTTAGTGTTAGTCAGCATATCCCCTGCTTGTTACTGTCAGGATATGACGTTGAAAAGCAAAACAAAAAAAACCCCAAAAACAAACAAACAAAACCCACAAACAAATAAACATGCAGATTCATAAATGCGTATCTTTTCTGGGAGGATGACAGCCTTATTATGCATACCCTGGGATTCAGACATAAGGAAAAAGGGGCGCATGGAAAAGAGGTGTATGGCAGCATGCTCCCCAGCCCAGGTTCTGGCAGGGCTTCTGTCCTACCATGCCAGCAGAGCTGAAAGTTTTGCTCAGGTTACACCTCTGCTATACCCCTCAGGGACATGGAGACCCCTCTATCTTGAATGGAGTTCTGCCCATCCCCTTCAGGGACTGGCCATGTAGAGGGTTGCCGTGTGCCTGACGCTTAAGCAGTTTGGTTGGTTAAGTTCTGTGGGATAGTCTGCGCCACCTGCACATGCCAGCTCTCATATCCATCTCCCGCTTTTTCCCTTGGAAGTCCCTTTGGTTTTGAAACATTTCTGTAACACAGTAAGTATGTGTCTAAGAGAGCAGTACAATTCAGCAAACTGAATTCAAGAAAAATAAAATTCTGCTGCCCTAATCTCTCTATTGACACTGACAACTGATTGTCCATGATATGTGATGCACTAGTTCCACCCCAGGCACCAGCATGATTTCTTCACCAGCTTTGGAGAGGCCCATGACAAGAATGGTCTTTCAGTGCTAGACCAACAGAGGTCTGTGGGAAGGAAATGGCAGTGTAATGCAGGTCAATTTCATGCTGAGTAAAATGTATTTGTTTACCCATTGGAACTGTTTCAATTAAATTTAATGGATAAATGTGCCATTTAATGGATTTTTTTCTTCAGGTTTTATGAAGTGTGTCATTATCATGCTTCACTTGCTTAGAAAACAAGTGGTTTTATTTACATGGCCAGTTACATTTTCCTAGGGATATGCAGAATGAAAATACGCAACCTAACTCAGTTCAATACTTGCTCTTGTGCTTTCATGGTTAGAATAATTCCTTATAAGCTAAAACCTTAAAATATTAGATTGTAACAGTGTAATCTGTTATCGTGACTCTCTGTTACAAAATCAGTGGTTTCAAATAAAAATCCTCTGGACACCTGTTTTTGTGACAGCAAAAACTTGTCAAATAGCTTTTGCATGATGCTTGTTTTAAAGCAGCTTGCAACGCAGTACAGTTAAAGTCAGCACCCAGAGTTAATTTTGACATTCTAGACTCAGTGACTGTCTTACCTCTGACATCTGTACAGCAGCAGAACATTACTAGGTCTCCAGGGTGTTACTACAATGCAAATAATACACTTGTTGTTTTTATAAATTAAAAAAATAAGCTTTTTGTGACTTCCTACTGCATTGGGAGCTGCCAGAATGTTTCATTTTACAGTAGCAAGGACAGCACTTGTGGGGTAAGCAAGTTGTGACACTAGTGAACTGTGGAAAAACAAAGGAGAACAAGACAAATCATTATAAAAGTGTAAAGGAGGGAGCAGGAATTTTGTGCAGAATCTTCTTGTACCTTGGCTTAGTGGAGAGGAAGTAGCCTCTACTTTTTCTTTTGCACATCCAATAACTAGATACTTCTTCATCCTTGTACGCATAAGCTCTGGAAAGCTGTGACATATTATTTGGGTTGTTTTGTCAGTGATGTGAGTAACTGCAGTTTTTGCAGTCTGTTTTTTAGTGTCCTATCCCAATGGTCGGGCATCATACAATTGTCCATATTTCATACGTGCTAGGTTCTGTACTATTAAATCATACAGTGTAACGTAAAACCTGACCTTCCTCTTTTTTTCTTATGGCAGGGAAGAGGTATCTGCTAACAGAAGAAGATATAAAGTTACAAGAATTTCAGCAGATGAAGGTGGCAATTAGAAATGAGCTTCATGGCAATAAAGGTATACCATTTATTTCACCACTTTAGCATGAGTCTTAAGAAACAGGCAGTCAAAGTCATAATAATATCATCAATTCACCTCATTTAAAGAAACAAATTATGTCTTCCTCTTGCAAATATTTTGTACTTAACATTATTGGAAGATCTGAGGCTTTGTAGAATGAAATTTAGTATTAGTTTTGCTGTGTTGAGAAGCTTTCATGTTTGTAAGGTGTTTACGCAAGACCTGAAATGTTTGCGCCCTCATGTTTCACACATTGTAAGATAGTCTAATAGAAAAAACTATTTCAGTCTACAAATCTTGCTTCAAGTATAATATCAGCTCAGAAAGTTAACACAAAGCTAAATAGTTACCTTACTATCCAGACAAGAGCTTTCACAGTAAATTTTTTTAATTTGCTCCCTAAACTTTATCAGCATCTTTTAATTTTTTTTTCCTAATGTGAATTTTCAGTTGTAATCTGATTCCAAATGATATATGCTACTCAGAATATAAAAAACAAATTCAGGTTTTCCAAATTAATGTAGGGGCAGGATCAGTGGATTTTTTCTGATCTTGTCATGCTATTTAAAATATATACAAATTCCTTTATTTTAGAAACATAAGTATGAACATGAAGCTGCCCTTGTTAAGAAAAGCAATGTAAAACTCCTGATTTATCATACGTGGGTGTGCTAGTGATACAAATTGAAAACTGTTCCAAAGGCTGTAGTTAATTCTGAGGCAAGAAGAGACTAATAATCAGATCTAGTTTTATATAACCCACTCTTCTGGGACAGAGAGGGAAGTAAAATCATCCTGATATTTTTTCTATATTAAGTAGAATTAAAATTGTGCAGGTGTGAGTCAAAATATTGTTGTATTTTGCTGGGATAATGGTATACTCATGTCGTAATTTATTCATCCTGTACTTGAGAAATATTGAAATTTCTGCTTGGGGTCAATAATTTCTCCTAAAGCAGGTTAATAGTAGCCAAATATTTTGCTTTATAGATCACAATTGACCTTCTGGTTTTGTGCAAACTGAATCCTTTGAAAACTAATGAAGACATTGTTCCAAGTGCCTATTTGTCTGTATGTGTGTGTGGTTTCTGTATTGAGTGTTTGATGTTATACTTGAAAGATGAAAAGAACTATGGCTAGTAATAAACTTTATTTAGAAATTTAGGGGAAATTTTATACAGAATATCTAATAGCTATTATTTATTGTTGTTGTGAGGCAAGTATTAACTACAATTATCTTACAGTAGTTACAATAGTTATACTAGTAGCTACAGTAGTTATACAGTTAGCTAGAATAATGTAAATACAGTTCAGATGCCAAATATTTTTGAAATTCCTGCACACCTTTGAACACATCACAGCCATTATATGTGCATACTTGCACATATATGTTTGTCTGGCTTCACAGGCTTCAATTCTGCACCTCAGTCTTGAGTAAGGACTTTTATTTGCATGTTGCCACAGATGTGTATTAGGTCACTGTACTCATTGTTCTCTGGTGCCCACTTTGCACCTCTTGTGCAGGTTACTAGCTTGGGAACAGCAGTGACCCAGCAACTGCTGTAAAAAAGTTCATTTCACAGCCCAAGATGGTGGCAGTACCATGAGAGGAATGGAGCTTTTAATGTACACGTGCTTTTAATCTTGTGTGCATCTGAGTCAGAGGCCTGAAATTACCAGCTGAAGGACAGGTCTTTCTGCTTGCTTTGTCATAGGAAAATGTGCTGGATAGAAAACTCTCTGCTTTAGAGGAGAAAGGTAGCAACTCCAAGTTTATGGCTATTTAAAGAAATAGGTAGATTATGTATGAAAGTCTTTGTGTGTTCATCAGCTATGAAGGAATTTAAGTCTTCTGTCTGAGCAGTATTGTGTAGAAGTTCTTATGGTCATTTAAATGCTGAGTGGAAATGGTTTTGTTTGCTTGCTTGCCTTTTAGAAAAAGAACATAAAATGTTACAAAACTTTGTTCTTTGTTAAAACTTTTGCATTACCTGATATGCTCCATAACATATATAGTGAAATTAAGTTCACAGTAAGCATCTCCTTGGTTTTCTAAGTCTGACATGACTTCATGGGGACATATTGGCATGCTTGTCTGTTAGAAGTTTTATGGAGTTTTCTTGGTGAAAAAAACAAGAGTTCTGCTTCACTGAGTCTCCATATTTCAGGTACTAAGTATGTAACGCAGGTAATAGAATTGTCTATAGACTGCTGCTGTGCGTGTTTTATTTTCAGATCAATATTTTAAAAATATTAAAGAAAAACTAAAGAAGAATGGAATCATCCTCAGAAATGAATTAAAAAATTTGCTGCATTTATGTCAGAATTCATCTGATGTGGAACTAGCCAGAAAAATTATTTACAGGTATTTTTAGTGATCCATGTAACTCTCTTTTCTGTTTTTATCTTTTTGCTTTTATTAGATCATCTTAGGCTATGTCTTGCCCTAATTGCAAAATGCATAGTTAATCCCTTGATTTAAGTCTGTATTTTTATTTAAATACTTTGGATCGTCCAACCCTTTAGAGACTCTCAAGTCAAAGGAGAGTTAATCTATGGGAGCAAAGTGGTGTCCTACTGTATGGTGAACCAGAGAAAAAAATTATCCCACAGCTGCAAGGCAGAGGTGTTCTGGGGCATTCCAGCCAAGACATGCGTGGTTATAAACTGCCCTACAACCAGTAGTCAGCAGCAAAAGGTTTTGTGAATGGAAATTTTCCTAGTAAGTATGATATAGGGACTTAAAGAAAAAAGTGAAATGCTTTATCTTTAAAGTTTAGCACTTACTGCTGCTAAAATAAACTGCTGCCACTTCCTTTGCAGTTGCTCCATGAATAGAAGGTGAAGTAGCTTGGAATTTTCAAGGCAGAGACCCATTCTATTATTTATTCAATGAAGGTTACTTTATTGATATAAAAGAGATTATTTATTACCAGTTAATTTATTTGTTTGATCAAAACAATGATTTTCCTTAAAATTTATTTCCTGGTATCTATGTATCTTTGGCTGCTGCAGCTAGGAAAGTGTGCCTCAGTCATTGCACCTACAGATCTTGCTGTATATTTAAAGCTGTTCTCCCTTGGCAAATTCCATGCCCTGTGTGATTAATTTTTTAATCATTCCCATAGGTACCATGAACAGAATAGAATCACAGCCTTACATAATTTTAAATTTGGGCCACTCTTTATGAGACTGTGTTATGAGCTAGACCTTGAAAGACCTGCAGTAGAACTTATCAAAGATCAGGTAATTCCCCTGTATATATAGTAAACATATTGTTGATTTTATTATTAGTCAGATATGAGTAATGGTATGCTACACATGAGTCTTGCATGAGCTGATAGACTTGAAGATGTGTTGCAGTAACAGAGACATCTATGACATTAATTTAGGTGTGCAGATTACATGGTTTTTTATGTTAGCATAGTAATCAAATGTTTGTTTGACTGGTAATTTTATTTCTGTATAACTGCATCATTTGAATAAAATTTAAATTTAAAGTATTGATGAAAGAATAATTACTTAAATGAATACAGCTGATGCATGTTTTCCTGCATCTTGTGTTGTGTTAAACCATTCTTGGAAATGAGCACTTGTAAGTTTTTCTATGGTAGTCCTCTGAAATTCCTTGGATTACTTGCACTAACAGGTTCATCCTGTTGCTCTGTACTTCAGTCTCTCTCTGAACACTACAGAGGTGGTATGATACTCATCAGCTCAGAAATTTGGCCATTTTAGTGCTGAAGGAACTGAAGGACTTGTTTCTGAGCATTTCTAAAATTCTGTGCGCGCTATTATGCAAGATAATAATCAGGCCCAGTGCATGCAATAATGTTGTGACTTCAAAAATCTCTGGCAGCCAATGAAAATCTCACTGGAATTAATTCATTAAGGCATGAGATATGTCTAGCCAGAAACGGCAGAAGTGTTGCTACTATTCTTAAGTTAGACATGTATAAGAAAGTGTATATGTAGTTTCTATTATGGTTTGAGTTTTTTTAAGATCTAGATCATTAAGACAGGAACTGCTGTACTTATAGTACATAGTAAGTGGTAGATACAGTTTGAGTACCACTTCTCCAGATTCTGCTGCAGAAACTCAATACCTCTGATATATTTTGTCTATTCCCAACACACAGTGTTGGGAATAAAATTTAATTCCTTTCTCTTCTGATACTGTTACCATCATCACTATTGCTCTTATACTGATCATTTGATATTATAATTAGCAAAAATTCATTCCATTTCATGGTGGTGGTACTTCACTCCAAAAGATACTGTTCATTAGCTGCAAACTATCAGTGATTTCTGCTTCCATTGACTTAGAGGTCATTTAAAAAAATAGGATAGTGGGACTCTCTGGGAATTTTCTGTTTAATTTTAGTGAGCTTTTGACCATAATGAGTCACTGGTATTTTAGACATCATTTGACAGAGAGACGGACAGGCAAGGAACCCAGAGAGTTAAATGCTGAACTTGTAAAATCAGACTTATTCCAGTAGGAAGACCTGTTAAATGCTGTGCACAGTAAGACTCTTCACTGTCCTGATTTTTTTATGCTTGCTCTATTTCCTCTCCAGAATTTGCATGGATTTTTCTCAGACAGTACATCATTCCATATTTTGATGACTATGTTGTTTAAAAAGGGCCATTTTGAAAGTAAGTACTGTATTTGCTAAGGGAAATTAATTTTGGGGAGGATGCTTCTTACTGTAAGTGGTGCATGTGTGTGTATATATATATATACATATATATAGGCTGATTGGCTATGATTTTAAATGGCCAAACATCGTGAACATAACTGTAGATGTGAATGTGTTGCATTGTAGTGTGTAATAAAAATGGAAGAGTCTATTTGTTTCATATTCCCTACAGAATTCTTGCCATTCAAGTTCTACAGAACTGCTGTTATCCAAGAGAGCTTTTCCCCCCAAACCGTCTTCACTGAACTGTTACTTTTCTTTACTTTGTTATTTCCCATAGCATTTTTTCTTCTCTGTTGAAAACCTGGTTTCTGTGCCTTTGGAATGTTAATTTCCTCAACGATTTTTTTCCTCCATTCTGCATTTGTGTCAGAGCAAGGAAGAGTACCTTTTTACTTGTGTCCTCCCTCAGAGTGGCTACAGCAGTGTAGAAGTCCAATGCTTCAAATCAGTTTGGCCCTATATGAAGACAAGGAGAAATCATCTGACCTAACTTAAAAGACTCCCCTTGAGAAAACCTTAAAGCTTTTCAAGCAAATCCCTTTATTTGATATTTGTTGAACACATAACAGCTGGTCTCTTAACATTTGGCAAATTTGAGTCCAGCAATGTTTGTCCTAAAAGTTGCAACTTGGCCACTGCAAAAGAGACCTAGATCAGTACCTAAACACAGAACCAGAGGACACAGTCTTAAGCTCCACTAAGGGAAATAGAGATTGGATATCAGGAAAGAGGTTTTTACAGAATGGGTGGTAAAGTATTGGAATGGTTTGCCAAGGGAGGTGGTGGACTCACCATACCTGGGTGGGTTTAAAAAAGGATTGGATGTGGCACTTGGTGCCATGGTCTAGTTGAGGTCTTAGGGCTGGGTTGGACTCAATGAACTTGAAAGTCTTCCAACCTTGTGATTCTGTGATTCAGCATTGTGAAATGGACCATGTGACTTAATGAGGAGATGCTATGTAGTTTGCCTACAGTGGTGGAAGCTTTCTGGGCAGTTAGGAACAATGAGAGTGGCTTTTTCAGGTGTATAGAATTTAGTTTTAGATTTTCATGTAAAAATAATGGAGGAATAAGGCCATGTGCTAGTGTAAACTGAAAACCTCCTTGCTAAATTGAAAGAGGTCCAAATGACCATGCATTAAACTTTTTGAATTCTTTAAATAACAAATTTCAGTTTTCAAATAAACTTATTGAACTCATACCTTATTGACTTGTTTCTTCTTTTCAGTTACGAGAGGTACAGCCTTAAATATATGAAGTGAGTAACACTAATATATTTTTGGTAGGTGCTTTGGAAGTTCTGGTGGAAATGAAAAAACAAGGTATACCTTTCAACAAAGAAACCTATCTACTTGCAGTTGCAATATGCTATAAACTGGTAAGTATTATGAATGAAGAAGTGTTTGAAATGCCTTCTCTGTCTCTCCCTTTAGATTTTAAATTTTGGATGTTTTTATGTTTCCATAATTTCCCTGTCATGATTTTGTATCTAGTGCAAGTATTTTAAACTTATATATGTAAGTCCTAAGGTGCTTCATTGTACATGATATGGTGCACATACGTTGTTTCCCATACGAACTAATGTGACAAAGCAAATCTCTAAAAAGTTGCATGGACATGAGCATTAAGAAACAAATCTAGTTCAGCCTTTGATTACCTTAGAGTATTCTTTCTCTGTGATGTTTGCCTCTCTTCAGTACGCTGTGCTTCAGCCTCAGTATTGGTTTTATAGTCTCATTTCCTTAAGGTATATACATGGCGTGTTCTATTTGCCAGACATCCCCCATCCATTTCTCCCCTCCCCCTACAAGCAGTCTTGTAATTTCATTTTGTAATTGTACACAAATTTGGCAGAATTGTAATCTGTTCCCTACACGCCTGATGAAAAGGGGCATCTGAATGGAGAAAAGAAGCATAAATGAATGCCTTTAGGTAAACAGACAGCCCCTTGAGCTTACCTGTATGTTTAGCTCAAAGAAAAAGAGGATGAGCTTGGTAAGAAACTAGAATACGTCAGTTATATGAGTGTTTTCTTAGAACTGTTTCCCTTTCATAGCAAAGTGAGATCCCAGAACTTTTTATTTTGATCTTCCTCTCCAGGTTTGAGTCAGTTCTGCAATACCCTTTTCCAGACCCCTTTCTGGGTCAGGAAAAGGGTATTGAAATTTTAATATGAATCTTTCCCAAACTTGTTTGGAAACTCTTCTTCCATTTCCTCATCTTGTATAAAGACACTGGCTGGGGAAAAAATTACACCACTAGACTAAACTTCCTCAGGTTTCTCAGTTAACCTTACAAGGAACTGAGTGCAAATGTGATAACAAGGACATAGCCTAAAAGGGTACCTCAGCAGCAGTTTTTGTGGTTTTTCTGAAATTCTCAGTTCCAATGAATTTAAGCTGCCTTTAGGTCTATTGTAACTTCTTTCCTAAAATGTTTGCAAGTTTTTTTAACATGGCCCGCAGTTAGAATGCTAGATCCAAGGTATGTCCTACAGGAATAGGTTCCCAAGGCTTCTTTTTCTTCTACTTCTGGCCCTACATATATTCTCAACAGAGAATCTGGCCCATTATTACTATTGATGAAAAGAGAGGGGGAGATGGTTCTGCTCTGTCACCTGGTTGAGTTGAATAGTCACGATAAATTTGTGGGGCTTTTTCACTAAGATAAAGTACTATCAATAGGGAAGTAAGCTGTAGTAACCCTTTATGCACTAAATAGGAGTAGGTGGAGCTCTTTTAAAAACTTAATCTATTGGCTCATCTCTTAGGAGGAGGAGGAGGAGGAGGAAAAAGGTGAAGCTCAAACTTGCTTTTTCTCATGATACAAGATAAAGCATGTCAGAAAAAATCTTGAAATTAAGTGTCTTCAAGATGTCGTACTAAAATAATATAAATAACAATATTGGTATCATTGAAAGCGTTGCTGGATTTTTACCATTCTTGGTTTCTTTTGAATAACCTTGCCAGAGACCAGCACAGAAGGCTTAAACTTAGATTATTTCCAATGGATAAACAGAGGAATTAATGTTTAATCTTTGCACAAAGGTATTTTTGAGGTCAACTCTGAAACACTTCTGGGATGGTTTAATTCTCTGTAAGGCACTGCCATACTCTGAGGTAACAGCGGGAAAGAGCTATAGGCCTTTTGATGATAACAAAGTATTTATGTAATAATAATCAGTCTTCTGGTGATCAAAATGTTTCTAAATTTTCAAGGAACATATTTTGAACCATATTTTGCAGGAAGACACTATGTACAGAAATCAACACCTCAGATTTGGTGTTGATTTCTGTACTAGCAACAGAAATCAACACCAAATCTGAGGACTCTTATCCATATTGGTGGTACCAGTTGTTTCCAAACATTCCTGCTGCCAGCTTTTAGGTTTGACAGATAGTATTTTGTTTGGGGTCCAGTCAGTTCCACTTGTGATTTCCACTCTCCATTGTTTTGGAGAGTCGACAGTTTGAAAGGTAGCACACAGCTTAACTCATTGCCATTTAGTGTCACCTGTTGAAAATTCCCAACCATAATGGAAGCCTTCTGTGTTGGAAAAAGGCAGATGTCTAAGCTGTAATATTAGAATATATATTTTGGAAGCATTTTTCAAGAATTAATCCTTAAGAGAGGCTCGAAATGGCTAAATGTTCAAATTCATTAGATTTCTTTGGTGAAATGGTACTTAACAGTTCAAGCTTAGAAAATGTTGATTTTAAGTAACTATCTAATGTAGCTTTTATAATTAAGTAACAACAAAAATTAATATTCATTAGTGATTTGGAAGTTATTTGAAGGTGAAAATGAAAATATCTATTTGTTTAGAATCCTGCTGGGGCTGTTTCATCTCTTGCAGAAGCCCAAGTAGTTAGGGCAAGGTGTAGTTGTTAAAATAACAGAAGTTACTTTTACCCTCCTGTGACCTCTGTCACTTTGAATATCGTGTTTTTATGTTGTGTTTCTCAAAAAGAGCTGCACAGAATCTGCTTGGTTGGGTTCAGATAGTGCCTTTGTGGTTGTACAGTATGTTGACTTCTGAATACTTTCTGAATATGATGGCAGGTGCTTATGGTTCTTTCAGATAACTATAAAAACAAGCTCAACTTCCTGTGGTATTTCTATGCAGGGCAGCCCAGAGTCTTCCAAAATCTCTGCGAGATTGCTTGAAGAAGCACAGCTAAAAGGTGACACGTTGCCACTGCGAGCGTACTGCTTTGCAATGGCAGCTGCTCTCAAGCAGGTATGGTGTCTTTGTTTTCACTTGTGCCTGGGGCTCTGTAGAGAGGTACCTCTGTAGAGAGGTACTCTGTAGAGAAGTTGTAGACAGCTTGTGAAAGGAAGCTAACATGGAGATAATGTAATAGCTTCAAGTATTGGAACTTCTAGTCTCCTGAATTATAGGATTGTACAAATTGAATTTGGAAGTTTCTAAATGCAAACATATGTCTTGAGTGTGATGCATACATATTTTGTGATAATACTATTTAGAACATTAAAAAATTATAGAGTTAAGCCACCAGGTTAGGTGTCACCATGGATCTAGTCCTGCAGATACTGTTACTTAGTGGTAATTTCCATTAAATAGAATTAAGATGATAATTTAAAGTATTTGTGCAGTTGTCTCTTTTAAATGATTGTCTTGGGAGGCAGACTCAAAGGCTTTGATATGTATTTCACTACTGCCAGGGAGGGGGAATTTCTCCACAATATGTTTCTGCCTGGTGAAGTTTTGCTTTATCTGATATGCCTAAGTACTGATATGAAGAGGCTCTGAGACAGCACAGGGTGAAAAGTGACGCAGAAGAATAACTATTAGGAAATTCTAAAGTTTGAAAAACAGTTTGGATTTCCTCTGCCATTAATTTGTGTATGCAGGTTGGGTATGTCATGATCCTTCTCTGTTTCATGTTAAAACAGAGGTCAGAGACACTGGAAATGCTATAAATTTGATCTTACTTACAAATTTGGATGTTTGGAGTAGAATTGGTAAAGGTTTCTATGCACTCTGTGGTCTTTTTTGCTCTGTCTGCGTGAATGGAGACACTGAAAAATAGCATCATTGAAATAAATTTATTCATGGGTACAATGGCATGATAATATTCTTGTTTTGCAAATGGAATAATGCTCCGCAGTACATTTAATTGTTCTTAAGGCTGAATGAATTTTGACAGCACTCTTTGCTATAAGAAAGATGTTTCTTGATCCCAAGTAACATTGCTTGGTTTGGTAAATGTCAGTGTAACATTTAATGTCCATTCAGATCAGTTGATGACATAGATACAGTATTGTAAATATGCATGTCCAAAGGGTTAGAAGGGCTGGGCAGGGTGAATACACAGAGTAACATATGCTGCACTTCATTACTCTGACGTGTGTTGAACTGAGCATGTGTGTAAACCTTCCATCCTTTAGGTGATCTCATGCTCAGTGGTGGTTACATGTGACAGACACACACAGTACTAAAGAGCCAGATGAAAGGGAACTCCAGTGTGGGGTATTCCTTTTGCGGGCTGGGTGCTGTTTGGTGTCTATGGGTCTTGGTAAAGGGGTTCTAGATGTGATTTATTGAATAGTTGTTAAGGTCTGTTGTTTTTCTGTCATTGTGCAAGTTTCTGACACGTGTGACTATTTTTATATTATTTATGATTCCTTCCCAGAACGATGTAGCACAAGCCAAATTTTACTGTTCCCAGATAATGAGAACAGAGAACAAACTGTACAATAATCTTAAAGTAAGTATGCTTGCCTTGTATTAAAATTTTGCAGAGTATGCTACACTGGCCAATAAACTCCCCGGTGCAAAGTAATTGAAGACCAGCCTCTTACTAGCACAGGCATATGTTGGTAATGTTGCTGAGCTTGTTTTTGAGCCAGCAGACAGTTTCTGTCAGTTGGATTACTTACATTCTGAGCTGTTAACAGTCTCCACCCACTGTTTAAAATCACTTCCTGCCATAGGTGGGAATGTAAAGTAGACCAATCCTATATGTGTGAGCATAGACCCATGAACAACTTCTAGCTATGATTTTTGCTTTCTAGTTCCAAAAGACTTTAAAAACCCAGCTGTAAGTAAATGCACTGCCCAGTTTAGGCCTCCTTCAGCCCTGCACACCATGTCCACATATGTACATGCAATGATTTTTTTCCTTTAGTTGTGCAGTCTACAATCTGAGAGAAAGTCTGCATGTGCATGTGTAAGTGACCTCTAAACTATGGTAAAAACCACTTTGTTCAAGAGCAGGTAGTGCAGCTCCATCAGAGGAGCTCTGCCTCAAGCCTCACCCTTCCTTTCCAGGTCTCACCTGGTAAAAAACCCCAAACATTTGAAGAAATTGATCATTCCATCTCTTTCTTTGCAACGGATGGATTTTTCTCAGTGCGCTGTCTGGAACTGAATTTTACCCAGCTTTGCTTCATGTCTTCCTCAAATACTTCTGTAAAAATTTGCATTCTTATGATATGTACTGTTTGTGTGGTTTGTTTTTATTTTATTTTTAAGGTCCTTGTCCAGCTCAGATCTGGTTTGCTAAAAGAAGTAATAAATACATTAGAGGCAGCAGTGGAAGTAGATACACCTCCCTTTGTGAAAAGAACTGAGTTTTCAGAGCAGGTGGTAAGTACACAGCGGTGAAAGAAGGTTCATGGTACTGAGCTGAGCCATGACAGTGGTGGCTCACCTACAGAACTTCAGGTGCCTGAGTTCACCCTGCTCTAGTTGTTTGGGTTCTGGTGCATGCCAAGGCCAACGCAGCTGGCTGGCTTCCTCTGCTCTTGATCAAAACACTTAGCTGTGAGTGAGCTCCATTTTTTATTTTGGATCTTGCTTCTAGAAGCTCATGTTTGATCTGAATGTAGGTGACACTTTCCCTGGCGGTGTTAAATGATCTAATCACTTGCCTCCTATGCTATTTTCATTTCATGTGAAATGAGAATAAAATTTCTGGTAACAGTGATATTGTTAGGTTGGTGACACATGAAAGACCTATAATGCTATAAAGGGAAGTGTGATAAGGGAAACAGTAGCTTTGCTATTTAACTATATGTTACTGTGAAAACTGGTTTTTACAGCCTTGAACAGTAAGAAGGCTTCCTCCAGAACACATATGAAGCCCTTCTCAGTTTGTCAGCATTTCTGCTGCTTTTTCCAAAGCTTTTTTAGTATTTAATTTTGGATATGCCTATAGAGCAAGACATTTTAAGACTGTGTTAATAATTAAATACTTAGTCTTCCACTGCTGTCTATTAAACAAAATTAATAACTAAGTGCAAAATAATAAATATTAGGAGAAGGGGTGGGCCAACCTTTCAAAACATTGCCTATATAGATTAACTGCTGTGTTGAAAAGAAATTCTTTAAGCAGCATTTTGTTTTGTAAAGTCGTTGCAATAAACATTGCATGTGTTAGTGTTGTATTTTGACTTTGCAAAATTTTTAGCTGCCAAAAAAAGCCTAAGCATCAGTCCTAGCTGCCCCCTTCCACAAGAGTTTATTGATAATAATATTTTTAAGGGATTTACCTAACACTTGAGCTCATACTCTTGTGTATGGAAAACAGAATTCCTCAGTCTTCTATAGTCTGAATTTTATGGATTTGTACTGTACTGTGCATTTACGAAGATACATCATAATAATTAAAATTGTGCTGATCTGGAAAGTAGATTCCAGGAAACAATTATGTTTCCCGGATTTAAATAGAAGATAATTGTGTTTGTCTGTACTAGGACTGAAAATAGGATTGTACAACTCTAAGGAAGTTTTAATCTAATAAACTCTCTTTAGTAGATAACCAGTGCCTGTCCACCATTTTGTGGTGATGCATAATGTACTTTTCGTAAAATCATGATCTTATGAGTCATTGCCTTAGCCACCTATCTTACATTGTGTGCTTTTTTTTTTTACTATGAGTTACTGCTTTTCTTCAGTGTGGTGGTAGAATGAGAGCTCCACTTGCTGAACTGTAACAATATGTCATTTTCTCTTCCTTAGCTGGCTACAGTCAGGGAAAAGATGGAAGAGAGCCCTGACCTTTCTGTCAAATTAGGAAATATTTATACGAAACTACAAGCTTCAGGACAGATAACCATGTGCACACTGGAAGACATGCTTTTCCAGATTCCTAGTTCAAAGAAGACCACTGCAAAGCTTTTAAATCAGAAGCAATTGGGCTGTCAGGGTACTAATCTCCTTTGGTCAAATCTGTTGTTAGGATAGCTCAGTATTTGATGCCAAACTGAACTGCTGATAGTATCTCTTATAATCCAGGTTCAAATAAAATATCTTTTCCCTTTCTACACAGTGGGAGTTTTAAGTTGTTTGTATAAAATTTCATTTTAAATACTGATCACGTAGCTTCTATGTTTCAATTTTGATCCTAAAAACAAGCTGCAACAGTGGATATTTGTGTGTTGTTCAGAAATAGGAGTGATAGAAAGATTTTACTTTTTCCTTAGGCTTTTGTATCAGGATTTTCTTATGCTAAATATTTTGGAAGTGAATGGATGGAAATGAGCAAAGCAAGCAAAATGGTATGAGTATCTGACTTGACTTCTGTGGTTCATGAGAAGAAAATTTGGTCTTCATCAAGTTAAATGTTCTGACTAAAAGGATAGAGGCAGGCAAGAGTCCAGAGCATGGAAGTGCTTGAACTGTTAACTCAAAGTCCATAGATCTCAGGAGAATCAGGGGGAAGCATGCATCTTTTGTTCACTTTAATATCTTTTTATTCTAAAGAAATATATTAGCATTTTTTTCCTATCAACTGGGATCATGGAAATGCCGTGGGAATTCGCGTGGTAACCAATGGGTTTTTTTCTCCCTTGAAGGAGATTCCTGATCAAAAGTCACTCTCAAGAGTGAGTGACTGCACAAATTGCTTTCTTCTAATTTTTCTGGTATTAAGATTCCCAGGATAAGCCAATCTTGATGCAAATTTCCAACTAATTCATAAAAAGTTTTTAGAGCAGTTATGATCACATTTTTAGCTATAATTACACCATCTGCATTGTTTACTCTATTTTTGGATTGAAAAAAAAGTACAAAGAAGCCTTTCTTTGTCCAGCTTTAATGACTCTAGATTAAATGTGCTGGACTCTAGCGTTAAAAAGCTGTTTGTGTCTGTGAGTCCTGTGTACCCAAGAATCTGAACTTACTCACCATCCAGAATAGAAGGAATTGGAAACAGATATGCCTTGGCTAACATTCTTGTGCCTTTGGGTGCCTTTGCATGTGAAGTGATGAACACATTGATAAAAGAACTTGGCAGCCTTGTGAACTGACAACTAGGTGGAACTCAACTTGATACTTGCCAACTTGGGCTGCATTATCTCTCCTCTACCTTCTGTTTTTTATTTTGTCTCTGCTCCACTCAAGCAAAAGTCATGGCTCAGGGTATATTTTCTGTGAATAAATATCTTCATCTGTATCACTGAAGCCATTGAGACACCGAAGAAACGAGAACCCATCCATGCTTCAAAACAAATGTGGCTTCAGGCTGTGGGATGTTGCCTTCTGAAGCTCTAGCTCTGAAACTTATTTCTTTTGTCACAGTGTGTCTTGTTAATATTTAAAATTATTTTTAAAATATTTTAAATATTAAATATATTTTTAAAATATATTATAAATGTTGAATTTAAAATGTACAAAACTGTTACAAAGTAGATGGAATTTCATGCGAGTGAAGAATAATGTGAAGTGTGTATCACACTTCTGTGAATTGTGTGTACCCTTTTTATGATTGGTGGCATAAAGTACTACATACATTAATCTAAAAACACAGCTATTACTTTTTCTGTAATATTGTGTAGTATGTAATTCCACGTGTAGTTTCCTTTCATTGAAAATTCATTCAACAGATGTAACCCTTGAGAAGTTCTCAATCTTTTCTCCACAAATAAATTTAATATGATATTTGTAAAGGCTGCTTGCAGTGTAGCAAGGATTAGTGGTAAAAAATTTAATTACTGTTCAGTTTACTCTGTATGGACAAGAAAACTGTCTGGTGTCATCCAGTACAAGTGGGACAGCTGTTGTGTTGAAAGTGTATAAATGCCACATTTTTAAAGAGAGTTTGACCCATTTAGCTCTGCATAGCAAATAAATAAGGTCAGTTCTGTTTAATTTCCTAACTTGGCACTTTAAAACTTGTATGAATTGCAAGAAGTTGTAACGTCCTAGGACTGTCATGTGTACTTGTTCATTCTAATTGTTTAGCTTCCTAACTAAGGCTGTATCCTACCTGCAACTGAAGTAATCATAACTCCTATTAAAATTGTCAAAATATTTGATGTTTTCCTTTTTTTTCCTCTTGACTATTTGTTTTCTTGAGATTCTTGTTTTCTTGGGGTTTATTTGTAAATTTTTTTTTTAAGAGAAATAACATCTTTGTCTTGAAAAAGAAAGGAGATGCACTTAGCTAGCAGTACTTCAGAAGAAAAGGAAAGCAGGGATTTAAGATTAAAGGATAGGTTCAAAGAAACACAAAATTCAGACAATTAAAATTAGAATATTGACTGTTGCTTTAGAAGTGTTGTAGAAGGCTGCTAACATTTTCCCTTAGGGAGAAAAAAAGCTGGGAGACAAAAGGTAGTTCTAATATATATGTAGCTGGTTTCCAGCTAAATCTAATTTGTGTTATACAAGTACCAGAGTCTGTAATTTGGGTAATCTTGGAATTGGTGATTATGTATGGATTCATCTTTTGGTGCATCAAGATTCACACTGACTTTTGTGTTGAAGAGTCTTCAGTCTGATGCTTAGTTGAGTGTACTTAGGTGCCGTTGAATCCTGGTGTCCCAACACCCAGAATCAGGAGCCCAGGCGTGTCTACAGATAAGCAAATACTTAGGGGTTTTGCTGGATTAGCATGGCTGGAATGTCAAGGGCTAAATTGCTAGACTGCTCTCATGGAGAAAGCCTCAGAAAATAGGATAAGTAACAATTCCATTGTCACTGGAGTTGATACTCAGTTTTATTAATGATGAACCTTGATCTCAAAAAGAAACCAACATTCTTAAAACCAATTCATTTTTATTTATTTTTTATTATTTTAAATAATTTTAATTTAATAAATGCATTTATTTGTTTATTTATTTATTTATTTATTATTTTAATTTATTTTTAACAATCTGAAAAAAACCCAAGGCATTTACATTTCAAAGTGAATTGCTGCATTTTTTTTCTCTAGGCTTCACAGCAAGAGATTCTGTAGGAAGTGCTCTTAGCATTTTATGTGTTGTAAGTAGCTATGGTGAGGATCTGAGAGCTCTTTGGGGTATTCTTGTGTGGAAAAGGATTGCTCTTTATCATACTCAGATGTTCTTCCTCCCATAAAATGAAACATGGGTTTTGTGCAGTTTTTTGCACTGCAGCAGCCTTTTGGAACAGTGATCCAGGAGACAGCAGGTGGCGTTTCTTGACCGTACTCTCCTGCCAACCTTATTTCCAGGGATGGCCTGCAGTGCCACTTATGTAAGGCAGAGCAGAATAAATTGTTTGCCCTATATTTAGCATGTGCCATCTTAAAATGGAAAACTCAGACAACAGAAAACTGCCTCGAATTGTTGGTAATGGTTGGCGATGAGTGCAAACCTAGAGATTTACAAGTACTTACTTTGAAATTTACAGCATTTATTGAAATGTGATCTTTGTCAATGATCACAGTACAGTGTGTACAGTATTCTGTGGAAATCCTAATCGAAGACCTGTTAATGTTGTTTCTTGTACACCAATGACAGTTGTAAGTTCTTACATTGGTATACCTTTAAGAGAATGTTTGACCCCTTTTCTTAATTGAATTTTAAAAGCATTCATTTTTACGTTCAAATAGGATCTGGATTGTATGCAGTCTTCAAAGGACTGACATTCCTCTGCTGTAGATGCTTCTGCATTTCTCCCTGTTTGTTGTTTTTCATATTTCTTTCCACAAACATCTTGAGTCTTGGTGAGAAAGGTTCACCTCTTTTGTGCTTCTCTCAAGTTAATTTTCTTCTTCAACACAGTAAAAAGGAAGGTGAAAGGGTTAGTCATTGCAGGAGAGCTCAGGAATGTTTTCAGGCCTCAAGAAGAGCATTCGCATATTTAATGAACCTTCTGAACAAGTTTAAATAACATGAAGCAAAGATTTGTTTGACGTTTGCAGCAGTACAGAAAGCAGGCAGACCTACCATGAAGAGGTCTAAAGATACACAACTTTGTTTTTCTTTTGGGCTTTTTTTCAAGATTGCTTCAGATTTCCATCCTTCTAGAAATTTTTGATTGTGAAATAAAGGCTTGTTTATTTGTTTTTAAATTACATCTGTTGTGGTTCCTTGCCTGCCCTTCTACTGTCACATTTTCCTTAGAATTAGTTTTTAAAAGAAGATGTCATTCAACACCTTCATCTTCTGTTTCTTTTAAGCTGCTGCTTATTTACAGCACTTTGAACTCAGCAAATGTCTGGTTGCCTACTTGCAGACTACTATTTAAGTAATTTCATTTTCGTGTGAATGATAAATTTAAGCAGCAAGATGAACTAGAGAGACGTAAAACTGCTACTTGTACTACTACTCCAGTGTTTTGTAATGTGAAGTATAGTGCTATTTTCTTACCTATCTTAGCTTGTGCTATTGAAGATGGCTGGCTGTGGACCTTCAACCTTTTGTTGAGTCTTTATGCAGTTGTCTGGATCTCCTAATAATTCCGGCAGCATGTGCAATAAAAACTGAGATAGTCTGACTTACCGACTCTCCAAGCAGAGATACTGGTTTTTTCCAAGTACAGATGCTCTAACTGTAAACCCTTGTGTACCATCAGATAAAGTCAGCTTCGAAGTCCTTGCGCCAAGCAGGAACTCAAAATAAATGCAGGAGCACTGATACAAGAGGGAAATTGGGTTTGGAACCATGCACAGAGATCAGGTGTATGGGATCAAAGTCAGCTGGGCCTGAACCTTGTGTCTGCATGAAAGGTAGAAGCCCTTTGTTAATTAAAGGAGACTCCTTCCGATGGAGATGGAGACAGTAATGCAGCAGCTAGTCTGGAACGTGTGGAGGTGCTGCTCAGGCTTGTTTATCCTTTGGATTTTTACCCTTTGCTAGTCTTCCATGTGGGCACCTGAGAGCAACCTGGAGTGCATTAGGCATGGCTACACTTGAGAGGAGGGTAAAGGGCAGGTGGAACAGATAATGTCTCTCAGAGGATCCTGACCAGGAGAGAGGGAAAAGTCTAAGTGGACTAAGCGTAACAGTGTGTCAAAGCATGGCTGGTTTCACAGACAGGCGTTTGGCTTCTGTGACCACAGTCACAGAGAGAACTGCCTGGGGTGTGCTTGACAAAGGAGGTCTTTGCAAACAAGCTTCCTAACCTAGTGAGGGTGGCTTTACATGAGGTATGCCAGGAAGGGTTACCTTAACATGGAGAGAACTGAGGGCACTAGAGAAAGGGCAGCTGAACGTGGCAAACAGCATGACAGGGAAGCCTCTTTCACTTCCCTATTAAAGCAGTGCAACTTGGGACCCATCTGGAATGCTTGTACACTAATCTATGAGCATAAGTAATAAGCAGGAGGAATGTGTATACACAGCTGTAGATCTAAGACCTTGTTAGGGTTATGGTGGTGTGGTAGGATAGCTCTCATGACTATAGTGCTGCAGTGAAGGGATGCAGAAAAGACCGGGTGGGTAAGAATGGTAAAGAGGAGAGGTTGAGCTCTATATAAAGCAGGTATGTGGATTTTGCCTTGGGACAGGTGATGACTAGATAGTGAGCTTTTGGACAAGGATCAGAGGACAGACAAGCACAGGGATGCTTCAATGGTTGTCTGCTACACGCCTGCACACATTGAGGCATTCTTTAAGCAGCTGGAGAAAGTCTCAGTTACAGAGCTCTCTGGTTCCTCTCTGGATCTTAGTCACCCTGTTGGAAGGACAGCATAGCTGGACAAAATCAGTCTAGGAGACTTCTGAAATGTACTGAGGTGTCTTAGTCCATGTGACAGAGGAACAGGTAAGGGAAGATGCTGTCTTGAACCTGTGATTCATAAATGTACAACAATTGCTGGATCGTGTAAAGGGCAGCATTGTTCGCTGCAGTGACAATGATTCTTGTGGAGTGAAGAGTGTGAAGTTTAAGATCCTGAGAGTAATGTAGATCCAAAACTTCAGAAGAGTAGGTTTTGGCATGTTCAGTGACTTACCTCCAGGTTCCTGTAGGAAACTGTTCTGGAAGGAAAATGTCTGGGGTGATATGATTGATCTTCAGAGTCCTGGAATGATCTGTCTCAATGTGTATAAAGTCAAGCAAGCTGGCAAAAGGCCAGAAAGAATACAGAGCTCCTGACTGAGCTTAAACACAAAAAAAGATGCACACAGAAGATGGAAGTAGGATAGGTTACTGAGGAGGAATGCAAAGACATTGCCTGTCCATTCAGAAATTAAGTCAGGAAAACCAAAGCTTAGTTGCACTTAAAATTAGCAAAGAATGTGAAGGATGGCAAGAAAGGTTTTTTCTGAGGATTTTGGCAGCAAAAGAAGGTTGAGGAGATTGTGGCCCTACTGGTCAGTGGGACGGGGAACTAGTGACAAACGACAGGGAGAAGACTGAGGCCCTCTGCCTTTTTGTCACCACTTGGCAGAGGAAAAGATGCTGAGACAAATTGGTTTGCTCAGCCTTAAGAAGAGAAGACTTAGAGAAAACCTTATTCTTGTCTACAGCATCCTGATCAGATGACAAAGAGATGGTGGAGTGAGACTGTTCTCAGAAATGCATTGGACACAATGGCCACAAGTTGAAACAGGACATTCTGGTCAGGTACTGGAATAAAAATTACCATGAAGGAGATCAAATACTGAAAGAGTTTACCCAAAGAGGATGTAAAATCTCTATTTTTGGAAGCCTTCAAGAGTCACCTGGAACCTGGACACGACCCTAAGAAACTTGAGCTGATTAGACCTGCTCTGAGCTGGGCTTTGGAGGTCCATTTCAAACTGAATTGTTCTGTTATACACCTGGATGACCTACTGACTATCCTGTCTTGTGAGAAACAAATGAAGATTTCTTATTCCCCAAACACCACAATGTAGTTGTCTTATATACAATTTTACAAAAAAGATTCTCTTTTTAGTCTCTTTGATACTGAGACTAGTGATTACCTATCCTGATCCCAATGCTGACTTGAGATGTCAGGGTTATAAGTCACAATGGAAGTTCTGGACTCAAACCTAGCCTCTCTGTTTCCCCATTTCTACCAGAATATAGCAGTGCAAATTCCCAAATCTTATGACAACCGTGTGCTCTACAAATAG